TATAAAATTGAATCTGGGAAACAATTGTTAACTTTAGAATTTATTTTTATATTAAATATGATAAATATTTTACGTTAAATATCATATATAATTTTACGTTTATTATTTTTTGTTTTACATTTTTTAAAAATACAAACTAATTTTCTCATACATTATGTCCTGAATTTGTTTTTTTGCAATTTATTGCAAAGATGACATGTAATTTTTAATATATAGTAATATTTCAAAAATGCACGAGCACTGAAAGTCTATTCTTACAATTGTAACTTCATACTGCGAGAGAAAAATTCGACAAACCTTTTCCTTTATCACAAAGATTAGATTCGATTTTACTACGTACTCTACCTTTAGTAGCATATATCCTTCTGCATCAAGAGGAGAATTGCGGCGAAAAGATCTCAAGAGTGGAGTGCAAGCGTTTCCCGCAAACGCATCGCGAGAAAGAAAACAATGGTTTTCTTGATTCATTGCGATCTTCGATATAAAGAATAAAAGAACCGTTTAAAAAGCCAGATATATATAAGAAATATTTTCCGGTGAATAAATCCGTGCGCGGCGCTGCCGCAATAAAACGCATTTATCCTTGCCTCGAGATAAATTTGCGGAAATTGGATCTGAACGCCGCGCACGATTTCCATCCGCTTTGGGAAATGCGTTTAATTTTGCAGTTTTTTGCATGAATAAGAGGGAAAGAAAGAGAGATAGATTTAAAGAGAGAGAGAAAGAGAGAGAGATCTCGCGTGCGCGGTCGACAAGTAAAAATGGGGAACACGATTCTCTGCCAGCATTATACATCGCGCGTTGAAGATTATTTTCACAAATCCCGTAATCTCGCGCCGCTATAAAATGGATAGAAATCGCATCCGGTTACGATAGAATTTTTAATCTGCGCGAACGGATCAAATCGACACAAAAATCATGTCGGGCGTCGCATCGCGTATCTCGTTCGATTCGATTCGCGGGTCCGATTCAATCTGTCATCGGAACAAAAATTGGCCATCTTTATGGTCGTCTATCGCAGTCGATTGTCGTTCGCCGCTGTTCGCGAATCGCTCTATCGAAATCACGCGACTGTAAATCAACCGCAGAACGCGCGATGCCAATTTATTTGTTTTCATATCTGTATTGCAGTGCCTTGTCGAAATGTTCATTCAGTTGACAACTAATATGTAAACGTTGTGATGTATATTATACATTACCGATCAAAAGTAATATATAAGTATTATAAATAGAAACTAGAAACAAGAAGGTCGTTATTTTAATGAGAGAACAAACGATATATAAATATCACTAAATACGAGAAACGTAAATAATTGATATGTAAATATTAAGGAAAAAAAAAATATATATATATATACTATGGTAATATTTATATATTTCGTTAATATTTACATATCAATTATTTATATATATATATACGAAATTATATTTCATTACTGTTATTTTATATTTTAATATCGTAAAAATAAAAAATTATCACAAATAACAGAAATATTAAATTTCTGATTCTCTAAAATAGCTTTTTTTGAATACTACCGCTTGATATCCTTGATAACCGGTTTTTTTTTAATTATTGATATTTGATATTCCCAATATGTGTGCAAATATTTCTCCAATTATTAAAGGAGGTTATAAAAAGGAGAAATAGGTAGTACATTTATATAATGTATATTAATGACATATAAAAAGCATTTATAACTAACTGCTATCTTAGAAAGCATCAGTAATATAACGTATTTTAAACAATATCTAAACAAGTATTATAATAATTGTAAATTAACTAATTTTAGGAACTAAATAATAAATAATATACATTTTTCATATTTTATGAGCGTAAACAAAACAACTAGAGCAAAAAATAAAAACTTATTTGCATTCTGTATTTTTTGAGTGTGACGCATACTTTTGACTGGTTTATGTGCGTAACAAGATAACAAAGTTCAAGATAATTAATCACAATAATAAACTAAAGAGACAAATTTAAAATTTTAATAGCTTGAAGATAATTTTGGTTAAAAAATTCTTATGTTATTATCTCTTTTTATAACTTAATATCCTTGCAATAATAAATAATTGGAATCTACAATTCTGGAAAATTGCAAGATTTCTTAAGTTGCTTTCCGCAAGCGCATTGTAGAACTTTGCGAACTATTCAGATCTTGAAACAATATATTCCTTTGTAGAGAAGTTACGAGAACGATTCATAAAAGAATGAACGTTGCGGAAGGCGGCTCGAAAAATTCTCATTTCTACATCGCCGCGCAATCGCGATTGATCGACGAGCAAGTCATTAAATATTGACGAGGTAGACGGTAGGTGCAAAAAGTGATGGGGTTTCCGCGGGAAACGAAACGAACAGGATGGATACAAATGAGGCTGCAGGGATGAGCAGCGTTATCTCGTATCCTGCGGGAGCTATTCGTTCCGGGGAGCCGCCCCCTTCTCCATCCTGTGCACCACCGACCCCCTTTTGATATCGCCACTCTTTGACGCCCCCTCGCAATCTTCGTATCCGCTCGTGATAAGAGAAACGCGAAACCGATTCTTCGTTAATAATTCGAGATTGCAATCATCACGATCTTCTGAACATTTTCAATCTAATCTTATTGCGCGAGAAACGCGAGGTCAACGCTTTTTCCGAAAACATAGCAAGTGAATGAACAGTTTTTTAATATATTACGGAAGGGTAAGAACGCAAATTGAAATTCTGCGTTAATTTATCCTTATTACGACAAGATAAAGTGGCAATGTCGTTTTTCTGTCGTTTTATTATTCTTAATAAAAACGACCGGTGCTAGATTAAATTTTCTTTACGTTTGCAGAGTGACATCGCGGGCTATGAGATGCTCGCGGAGGAACCAGGACGCGACGAAAATAATCATTAGATTTCAAGAAGAGACAATAGACAATAATTATGCTCAAAGATACTGTTTTATTAACTCGTCTTCCGTAAAATGCGGATGATTCGTTTAACGATATTTGCCATTTTTGAATTATTATTTTGTTATTTAAGAATAATTTAATTTTTTTCTAGCCATTTTTTTAATTACAGACAAATTAAAATGGCATTTCATATAATCATATTTGAATTTCGCCGTTTTTTAATCGAATTAGAAATTAGTTATGTATACAATCTCAGAAATACCTGTCCCATTTTGACTCTTGAGAGTCAGGAATAAGTAGATATTGGAATAGTTCTAAGTAGGACGAGAACGCACAGCGCGAGATTACGGGATTGCGGCATGTCTGACCATACGTCGGCTTTACTACTGCGGAGGTGAACAACTGGCGGTTCTCTTGTCAGGAAGGGGAAGTGAAAAATCCTCAGATTCCCTCAGGAATCGTCGGGGTATCCTTATAAAACTGGCAGATTAGAGTGAGACGTGACGAGAGCACAAAATCTGCTCTGAGTATTAAGCATCCCGTCAATGCGAACAGAGCGTATCGCACCGTTATATTTGGACATAGACATGATCCGGCGACATAAGACGAATTAAATATATATTATAAAAATATAATTAAATATAATTAATAATTTTATCACGAAAAAAAGAACATGCTTTTATCATATAAAAAACAAAATTTTGCATTTTGCAACAGATTTTAATAGAGTTTGATTTCTCTGTAAAGTCTAATATATTAGTATATTAAAAGCATTAACAAATATGAAAAAAAAACATTTCAATTTATTAATGTAAAAATATCGGTAGACCGGATTGTAAGCTTTGTGAGTTTTTTAATTATTTCTGAACTTGCTATCAAAAGCTTTCCATGTACATTGAATAATTAATCGATAATGGTATGGCGGTGTAACGACAATGTTGAATAATTCTGAATTGACGAGTATTAAATTTTAGTGATCAGAAACATTAATATTAGTTGCATGTAATCAAGAAATATTGGAAAATATTAATGTGTAAGTATAAAAGCGCATAATAAAAAAACAAATATAAATAAACAAACAAATATAAATATAAATAAATTAAACAAAATATAAATATAATAGATATAAAACATAAAAATTTAAGTGTATGACTTTATATAATTAAAATTTTCCAGAAAGAAAGAGGAACACAACATTGCTTTCATTACGAAACGAACTAGGAGAAACGAATAGAGGACGTAAAGATTAAAAGCAAATCGCTCGATCTCATTACAGTCGACGAATTGCGATCTCATCAGTATAAATTGTTTCATTCACAGTTTCAATTTATTGTGTACTGAATATCTTGAAAAGGGAAGCATTAGAAACTCACACTAAATAAAACTTTGAAGAGAGACATTTTTTATATTAATATTGTGTGTGTGTGTGTGTGGATTTTTACTCAAAACAATAAATAATAATATTCACACTGTGCGAAAAATCAATCAAATAAAATGTTTATAATATAATTCGAACAGTAAAGGATTTATGATATACATTTAAATGCAAATTATGCTGTATTATTTAATACAATCAGCTACACGTATTCTATATTAATATATTATTGTTATTTATATATAAATAAATGTTCAATACTATTTAATAATGTTTAATATTGTACACAAAATATCAAACATTCATCATTTTTAACGAAAAAAGTGTAGCTTTATTCTTGTATCTTCATTTGATACTTTTATACTTTATCGCAAAATGTTAAAATATAGAATGCTACTTGTATTAATCATAGATATTAAAATCAACGTCTCTGTCGCAACATATATATAAATTCATGCACATTCGTGATAATTTGTCTGCAGCTCTTATCGCTTGGTATCATTATTCATTGACAAAATACATTCCGTACTTAACATAGTAATAAATCACCAGTCACGTAAAGGGGTGTCGTCGAGAAAAAAGCTGCTGAATATTCTCGCGCAGAAACCTCGCTCGGAGAGAATCCCCGGAGGAGAATATTGCAGGGAATCGTCAACGAGTAAGATATCCGGAAACAGATAGGGGAACGTACAAATCCTCGTGAGAGTTCGTTAGCGCTAAAAATTAACTTTGTGAAACTCACCCTTTTTCTCGCCGAAAAAGTCCGCGCGGCTGCATGTCGCGCACAACGCGACAAAGATCACCAGTGACGATCTGCAAACAATTATATTTCTCACATCATTAATCATCATCATAGTTTCTTAATATCTGGCAGTAGCGTGAAGCGCAAAACCCGAGAGAGATACATTACCGGTCAAAAGTATTGCACCACTTATAGATAAATAGTTATTTTATTAAACAAAGCATATAAATATTACCGATATATATTTTACTAATGTTATTTTCTACTTTAACATAAAAAATTATAACAAATAATGACAGAAATATTAAATTGTTGGTCAAAATAGCCTTCCTTTGCTTTGAATACTGTCATATATATTATTCTTTATAATAGTTTTTTTTTAAGTTGTTATTGATATTTCATTTTACAAATACTTCCACAGTTGATGAGCAAGATATATTCTAGAGAAAAGAAATTTATAGAAGAAGATTATAGATAATACATTTATGTATTCCGTATATTGTTGACAAATAGAAATCGTTTATAACTAACTATGTTTGTAACTATAACTATATATAAATCATTCATAACGCAATTATACTTGTAAAAAGTATTAGTAATATAACACATTCTTAAACAGTATCAAAACAAATATTATAATAATTGTATATTAATTTTAGGAACTGAATAACAAATAATATATACATCTTTTATATTTTATAGATACAAGTATAACAGCTAGGGGAAGAAAATAAAAAACTTAATCATTTATTTGCATTTTCTGTATTTGGGAGGAGGGTGATGTAATACTTTTAACTAGTATTATACACGTTACGAAAAAATATCCATAATTTTTAAAAGTAAGCAACATGTTGCCAATTAATTGTTTTTACTATAGTATGTTTTACTTTAGTATTATTACTAATAGTATGGCTGGTAATTAATACTAATTAAATAGGGATGAAAAACGGAATATTTGGAACAGTTGGAGCAAAAATAATTAAAAGGCAAAAGGAGAAAAAGATTAGTCTATTGGAAGGGAGAAAATTGGTACTCGTCAATGTATGATCCCACGATAAAATTAGTGTTAGAGCGATTCAAAATAACAATGTTGTTGCCAAAAGACAACAACAGAGATACACCTACACTGATATAGTCAGGTTAGGTGATATTCCATTCAAATCAAGAGAAGTAGCTAGTGACGTTATGCCAAGTTTTACTTTGATATCCTCGTAAAAATCGATTTTGTAATACAAAACACGATCATGACTTGCAATGAGTTAATTTTGTCAAATATAATATAACAGTTTAGCTTGATACAATTTTATCTGTTTTTATTGCTTTTAATTTAATGTACCATAAATTTTTACTTATCCCATCTCTTTCTAATTATATATAATATTATATATAATCCTCTAATTATTTAAAAATCATACACGTTTGTTGCATATTATTTTGTATACTTCAATAAACCCGTCTTAACAATTACAAAAATTATCTTTACAAGTTGAACAAAGAAAGAAAAAAAATAACTTGTTACGTGTAATATTTCTTTCTAATTTTCACAATTTTCACAATTTTCTTCAATCACTCTTTTCTTTACTAAATCTTACGCATAAAATATTGTATAAAATTTCTATTCATTTAACTATTTTTATACATTATTCAGTGCATATACATTATTCAATGTCTTCGCGTGGCTCGTAGAAACAAATCGTGACTCGCTTGTTGTAACGCGTGATTAATCTCTACTTCTCTCTCCCTTTCTCTCTCTTTCTCCCTCTTTTTTTCCGATTCTGCATTATTCCTTGACTAGACTAAGGTCAGTGGAACACGGGAAGCTCGGTAAGTGTGACAGACATTTACATCTCGGCTTGCACAACAGCCGGCGCGCACATGGGCGTAGCTGGTCCGCCGATCGTGATTCATGATCGAGAATGCCGTACTTGCGCAACGATCGCAAACCTGCGAGGACGGCCGTGCCCGTCGATTTCGATTTCCATTTAACAAGGACGTCGATCCCGCTCCCTCTCTCTTTCACGTTCAACAGGCAAATGTTGACAAACCATTGAATGCTGATGCTGACCGAAGTAAAACTCATGTTTTACATAATGTATGTAACGATATGAAGAACGAAAAATTTGTATCATTTATTGCTGCGATCATAATCCTTGATAATGTTGAATCATATTGATATATATGAATATTATAGAAAAACTTATCAAATGTCCAATTATTATGATGATATCATAATATGGTAAACTCTATCAAAATATATTATAAATGTACGAATGTGCATATGTGTGTGTGTATACGTCTCAAGATTAAAATATAAAATGTAAATTTTCAGAAATAGGTATAAAATAGCACTTAAAATAACACATAAAGTATTTATGTAAATGAATTCTTTTGTAGATTATAAATAATTAATATAGTATAAAATAATTATATATATACATATATAGATCTGATAAAAATTGAATGTTCGTGAATGAGTAAAGTGCAATAAACTGTATAGAAAAGTCTTTTACCATTTTGCAATTTTTACAATAATTGGAATATTAATTAAAAAGGACTGTCTGTTTCGTAGTTAGATCATGAGATGTAGATATGTCTGGCGAGTGTCACATGGCAATGAAAAATTTGGCGTGTCTTATTCGATTCTTGTCTTGCAAAATGGTAAAGAATTTTTCTGTCCATATCGTATATAAATTTCTATCCGCTCATGAGCGTTGGTTCAATCTTTATCAAACACCTTGTATATATATATATATATATATATATATATATATATATATAAATTTTATATATATATATATATATATATAATTTTTTTCCTTGTTAGAAATATATATATATATATATATATATATATATATATTTTAAATAATCAATTAAAACAACTGTTTTTCTCATTTTATAAAGACATTTTATAGTGACATTATTGAATACTATTTATATTAATTTGTACTTATTTTATGTATCACTCATGTTTCTTAGAATCATTTATGTTTTATCAAATCATATAGTAATTATTAAAACGTAGCATACATGTAGCATATGAGTATATTTGAAATAGATATTAGATATATATTTGTTTTGTAGTTTTTTAAATTATTTTTTAATCATTTGATATAACATTATAACACACACACATACGCGCACAAACATTTATTATTTTAACTAATTAAATCTTTCAATTATGAATAACATGCAATGTGTGACGTATCTTTTTATAAATAAATTTTCTTAATAAATCTAGAAATTTATATTTTGTAAAAGTTGATTAAGTATTAATCTTATGTAGAAAAGATATAATTATCAAATTGTCATAATAAATATAAATTTCCTAAATAATAATCAATATCAGACAATAATCTTTGCGACTTAGAAAAACATGTTATTGTTATCCAGGGATCTCGATTGCTTTTCGTAAGATCATTAAACATTTCTAAAACTTCATACAAATTTCATGAGAGCCTACTGCTTTCACAGAAGTTTAAGCGGTTACGTCGAGTTTCGTTGAAGTTTATGACGTTTTATAAGGTCTCATGAAATATCCGAGATTTCATAGGACGCAAGAATTTTATAGAGCACAAGAAACTTTTCCGTACATATTGCATGTCTTCACTAAGCTCTGTTCGATGCAATAAATGTATCTCAAAATTAAATAAGACTGTAAATTACTAAAGACTGTAAAATTATAATAGCATGAAATAATGTACAAGAAAATGTGAAAATAAAATAATAATAAAAAAAAATTGTATGTATAAATATATATAAATTATAAATTAATTATTAACATATATATATATAATATTTAATTACTATTAATATACATAATTATATAATAATATACATGTAATATATAAATTTTATATTTATATATAATGCTATATATATAAATAATAATTTTGATTATAATAATTTTAATTTTGATTGCAACTTTTATAAAATAAGACAATCAAATAAGCTGATACGAATGCATATCTTTTATCAGTAAGATATATTTAAAGTTAGTTGAATTATTAATTAATTGTAGAGAGTTGAAAATTAACTCTTTTATACATTTCTTGTGTATATTCCGTGGACATTCATTATATGTCGATTTTACAAGACTGACCGACAAACCTACTATTCGCGTGTATAACTGAAGCGTTAATAGAAATATCGAACACAATTGAAGGATCTATTTTTAGTGACTGATTCTATTTATTGTGCAATTAATAACATGTGTGTATTTGATTACAAAGATGAAGCCTTCTAATTTCTAAATTGTGCGGAAAAATTGTGGCGATTGATATTTCTGTTCTTAGAAAAATATCATAGGCATCACTTTTCATAAACTTCAAAAATCATTAAAAAACATTAATTATGAAAAATTGTTTGATGAAATTATTATTCTATTGAATAATATTCTATTTAAAGCATAATCATTATTTTTATTAGTGTATAAAATAATTGTGGTTATATTAGTGTTATATTATAATTTTCAACTTTTTTTATTTTAAAATATGAGCTATCAATTTAACATTTGCAGTCTTTTTTTCAAATTTGTATAATATTTAATTATTAGTTAATGTAATAATTAAATATTTTTATAAAATATTAAAATGCAAGATAGAAATTTATAAAAATTATTTTTTTCTGTATTTATTTGACATTAAAATTAAAATCACAATGATATAATACTTATCATTCACTAATTATAAGCGAGGAAAAGGACTAACATGAATTTCTGATTTGCGCAATCTCGCGTTACGCGGTGTTTTATTTCCTTCGATAAGAGAGTATCACTACTTGTGCATGACATCATCGCAAGAAAGAGGAACTCTTTGCAGGAAAAAGTGGAATAAATCTCAATGCGGATGGAGAGTGGCCGTAAAAGAAAGAACGAAGGAAAACCACGGCGATAGCGTCGAGATAATAATCGACCGCTCGTTTGAATAATATATGATATAATATACCTCTTTATAAACGTATAAATTCTTCATCCTTTTATCTTTTGAATAATTTCAAAAGAATCGAGGCTAACAAAATCTTTATAAATACATGAATACTGCATGTTCATATGCATACAGTTTATAATGAT